TTTTTAAAAATTTAAAAAAAAAAAAAAAAAAAAAAGGAAAGTAAAGTAAAGTAAAATCATTATCTTTCCCACCCAATTAAAGCGTAGACTCCCCACCATTTTTCATATATTTTATTTATTTATTTTTATCGGTGATATTTATCTGTTTAATGAAATTATATGCACATAAATTAATTTTTACTAAAATAATTGTGATTAATATTTAATTAAAATATTAAATTTATACGATATTCAATAAATAATTATGAGCTATATAATAAATAAATAAATAATGCTTCGCCGAGTTAAGTCGTATGAAAAAAAATCATTTTGTAAGTCACTTGGAAGTAAACTTTTTAAGCTCAGATTATATGCTCAAAGTGAAAAGACATTTTTGAGATGATGCGGTTTCAGGTATACAAAGTGACTCATGAAAAAAGTAAAAGTTAACAGAAGATTATTGGAGTTGACAAATAACAAGCTTGGGTTGAAATAAATTTGTCGGCAGATAGCTGCAGAAAAATATTTACCGTTATTGATATCAAATCTGTCGTAGAAGTAAATCTCAAACGTGCACAACTGTTATAAACTGGCAGATAGTATCCTTCTATTTTATTTTTCTAGAATAGCATTATTAAGAAGAAAAGTCGGGTTACATCATGCCATTGTTGATTGAAACAGAGAAAGGCTCGAAAATTTCACCAATGTATTGGTGTTCCATTTTAAAAAGTCAACCTTATTAAAAAGAGTAGCTCAAACTCCTATAAATTGATCTATATTTTCATTTTTATTCGATGTGAAAATTTATCCCTTAACATGCCCCTCAAGATGGTGACTCGCTTGAGCAGACAAATCTTGAAATTCGTGTGCTCAATTTTTTTGAACCTTAATTGGATCGAGTTTCCCGTTGTAATTTAACAGACTCTAATATCATGTTAAGATTTGAGATTCTATCTTAAAATGTTAACCTTATTTAGATGAGTATGACAAACATTTATAAATTGATCTATATTTTCATCTTTATTCTATGTGGGATTTTATCTCTTAACACGCCCCTCAAAATAGTGGCTCGTTTGAGCAGATCAATCTTCAAATCCATATTTTCAAAATATTTTATTTTTATTTTTAGTCTTAATCGGATCGAATCGCTCGTTGGAGTTTAACGGGCTCTGATACCATGTTAAGATTTGAGGTTCCATCTTAAAATGTCAATCTTAAAGGAGTAGCACAAACTCTTATAAATTGATCTATATTTTCATCTTTATTCGATGTGTGAATTTATCCCATGACAAGGGAGGCAATTCATTCTATCATGAACTATAGTGATCACCAAATTGAAATTCAAATAACCTTGGAGAGAACAAGTTAGAAACTGATACTTCATAATAAAAAAAAAAGAAGACATGAATTGGACTTTCTACTGGTTTATCCTTACCAGTTGATAATCAAAGTCCAGGTTAAGATTGTTCATGAAGTGCACGAACTGCTACAATTGTCAAAAGGCAAGTGTCAAACATATCTTCTGTTCTGCTTTGCTATGTGGAGAAATGGCTTTGGAATGCAAGAGGTGATCTTGGAAAAGCATTTAACAATTCTCTTAACAGAAATGAATACAGAGATGATCGGTTCGAATATGTCCAGCGCCGGTATGGTAACTGGATCAACAAAACTTGAGGCACAGATCATATGAAACTTAAACATGAGAAACCTTAGTAGATATCTAGACATGAAATCTTGAATGATCTATTGAGCATTCATAAACCAAATTATATAAACCTAAGAAGTCATGGAAGCATAGATCCTCAGTATCACTTTTGCTAGAAAAAAAAATTCTGCTGTTCTTACAGCAATGATTACTTCCCCCTTCTCAATAAATGTCTGAAGTATCAGTACAGACATTGCTTCATAAAAAACTCAGGGCAAGGGACAAGCAAATCAAAGAGTTATCTTTGGAAGAACAAGGGCAAACAGCCTGTTTTTATCTTTTGATTTCTTCTACAGTGCTATAGAATTGATTTATCTAGTAATGGAGGAGGGTTCACCTACCTTGTTGGACTGGTGATGATGATGTTCAAGCAACTCGAGCTCCTTCTGGCGAATTATGAGAACCATTCTCTCATTCTCAAGCCTCAATCGCTCATTGGCAAGCTTCTCTCTCTCCATTTCTCTCTCCTTCTTGGTGCTAAATTTCAACCATTTTAATCGCTGCTTTTCAAGTTCAAAAGCTTGACACTGGATGCCAACACGCTGATCCTTCAAGTGCATCAATCTTGCATCAATCCACTGTCTTTTCTCAAAGGGACTCCTAGTTCCATCTTGCAACACATTCATCAATTCCACATTCAATTGTTGAATCAAAGGCGAATTGAATACACTCTTCCTCTGCCACTTCCTTGAAGATCTACCGTCTGTGTCATTGTCGTCCTCATGGCCGTGATCGTGACCCCTTGATCCTCGATCAACCACTTCGTCATTATCCTCATAGCTGTCACCATCATCCTCATCGCCGTCCTCGTCGTCATCATCATCTTCCCCACTTATCCCTTTTGCCAATTTAGATCCCTCATTTTCTCCTCTATTCAAGTTAGGCATAACTGAAGCATTTACGGATGAATGCAAACATCTCTGCTGCTGTGACAGAAACTGAGTATGGGATGGCTCTGCCGCCACCTCTGCAGGTGAACGTTGATTACCACCAGCTCCACTTCCACTAACACCGCTACCATGACCACAACTATTATGGTACGCACACATTTCCCTGAAAAACAAGTGCTTAGAATTCAGCAATTTCTTGACTTCTTCCTTCATTTTAGGCGATAAATGGTCCATAGAGTCGAGCAAACTCTGATTCTCCACTACTCGACATGCAGTTCCCTTCCCAAGAATATCATTAACCCTCTTGTACCTCTTATTCAAGTCATTGAACTTATCTTCACATTGCTGTGGAGACACATAAAAGCCTTTTTCCATCATTGCCCGCGATACTGATTTCCATTTCCCCTTCTTCTGCAAGACCCCTCCACCCTTCTTCTTATTAGCCGGATCATTACCCTCGGAGCCAACTTCATCACCAATATAGAACACGATCATTATCAACAGCCTCACCATATTATCATTCCATTTCACTCTTTGCCAAGGAGATATTCTCATATTCCCATCATCAGATATATTCTCTGGTCCAGGCTCATCATCATCACTGAGGGTCAAACTTTGATTCTTAGGCTTTCCAGCATATGGGCGCCATGGTTTCACAGATTGCTGAGTTTGTGGGTGGTATTCACCCTCCCGGTGGCCATAGGTCGCCATGGGATTATGTTGGTGCTGCTGCTGCTGGTTAGGGTTCTGTGGTGGTATTTTGTGGTGCAGTGACATTTCTAGCCCTAAAATTCCAGGATTTACACTAGAATACATTCCACCAGGCATAGCATTAGATTCCATACAACTTATAAAATTACTACTACACCAGCCAAATTATTTACGACCCTGATCAAGAAATTCGTCTGGCCACTTATTTTTCACATATATGCATAAAAAAATAAAGCGAAACTAACAAAATTTCCGACCCCAAAAACCAGAATACCTTAAGTAAAGTAATACCAGTTCTTAAAATAATTATTGAAAACAAGAATTTCAAAGAGAAACAAATAAATATGAGAGAAAATGAGATGGAGCAGTAGAATCAACAGAACCTGAGAAAGATTCTTGAATGAGCAGAAATTGTAGAATTTGATCAATCTTTACAGCATTATATAAATATCGAGATAAAGGCAATAAGGAAAGATATAGCGGCTGTAGAAAGTTAAAAAAGGAAAAGAAAAAAGGTAATCTTGCTTTGTCTGTCCAAATGCAATAACAGGAGTGAGAGAATTCGGGGGCGTTTATACGGTGAATATATACAGCAGTAGCTGGTTTTAGTCTTGGGTTTCCATTCGATGGCAGAAAACAACTGCCAAATGCCCACAGGATTTTTGCTGGTGGGAGTGCGAATCCACAGGATTTCACAAAACTGTCCACTGCAACGCTGATATTTTTGTGTTGGACCTACCCTTTTTCATTTGATTATCAATGAATTAATCAGAGCCGTCAGTTTGAGATTTGCAATTTGAAGCTTCAAAAATAATGTTGTTATTTCAGGTCTCCAAAGAGAAATGCTATTCATCCCCACTGAATGCATCTCTAGTCTATGTGATGTTTATGTAACATTAAATGATAGGTGAAATTAAATAAATCATTTAATTTCACCTATCATTTAACCAATCATTTACATCCACATAAACTGAGGATGCATCCCCACTAGAGATGAATAACATTTGTTTTTAAAAATCCTATGGAGCGTCGTGTACATCTTAGGTGAAAGATCAGTGACCAAAAGACTCCACGTCTCCACTCTTCTACGGGCCTGGCCCAATGGGCTCAAGGAGATGCCAACGAAAATGAGAAATTGATGCAATTGGAAATTACCTACAATCGGAATTTTAGTGATCGCAATTCAAAATATATCGTTACTTTCTCTCTTTAAACCTCTTACCTCTCTATTCTTTCGTCTGCGAAGAGCGACCGCGATGCACGACGAGGCATAGGTGAGCGCCCCGCACATCAGATCTGAGCCCACAACACCATATTATTTTTTGGTAGGTGTGATCTATGTATGATGTGGTGCGTGCGGTGGGTGGGTGGAGGTGGGGTGCAATGGCGATGGTTTTGGGGTTTTAGGTTGGTTTCTTCCTCCAATCTGCTTAGTAGGAGTTTTGGGGGTGTGCAGTCCTAATCTCGCTGTGACATGCAGAATTTCGTTGGTAGTTCACACAACGAGTATGATAATAAATTTACAAATGAGGACTTGATTACTTTATCCCGTTGATTCTTGTGGAGGTGAACGAAGGCGACACATCTAAAGACGCGTGGTGGAATCATCAAGACTGAAGGTAGGGAGAAGTTAGCTTCTGGTGATTTTATTTTGCTTAAAATCACACCTGATGATAATCCTGCAGATATTGGAACAAAAGTACTTGACATCGGTAAGTTCAACAAATGTTTATCAATATTGAGTATTAACAATGGTTACTTGTTGTGCAGGTACTGAGTTGGAGTGGGCGATGATGATAAAATAAGACCACACTAAGTGATAGCACTTGTAACCGGGGAATTTGATAGTGAATTATATGTGATCCAAGGTAAAGATTTGTGAGGTGGATGGACCCGAACTAGCGATTTCGGTTCGATTTGCTCTTTTGTAGTTTTTTTGTACAGCCCTAGCTGTGACCAAAATGTGGTATTTCCAAGAAGTTTCAAGGAAAATACTACAACTATGACAAAGTGGATCATAAGTCTTCGAGCTTTTCTCCGCATTCTAAAAGCTTGTTTCTTGCTTCTCAGGCCACTGATGAGGCATCCTGGATCAAGACAACAGATCAAGTAGGACAACCATCAGATCAACTCCAACTAGATACGAGAGTATATCTAGAAAAAAAATTGAAAATCAGAAAAAAAAAAATTAAGTGCATGAAAAAAGAAACAGAGAGAGCACTAAATACATTGGTTAAGCTCCAAACACTTATTTGAGGGAATTTGACTTTTGATGAATACAGCTTGTGTGCACACAGAGGGGAAGGACTTTCTTCTAGACATTCACATACTGTCGTGGTTCGGCCCTGTTTGGTTCGAACTACTTCGATAGATTTGACCACGAAACACGTGAAATATCTACAAATATTGGTTCATCACATTCTTCTAGGACCTAATGTTGTGAGAGTTTGGGTTGATGTAGCTATGAAACCTGATGCATTTTTGTGGAGGCCTACTTCTGATATGACTTGCATTGAAGAATGTGGTGATGATGGTGGTGGTGCGGGTAGGTAAAGGGTGGGGTGCAGCGGTGATGGTTTTGGGTTGATTTCTTCCTCCAATCTACTTAATCGGAGTTTTAAGGGTGCGCGGTACGGTGTGTTGGTAACGATTATGGTGCTACAAGTGGTAATGGTGGTGCTACAGGTGGTTGGTGTAGATGGCGGTGGCGGTAAAGTGTTGATTTTACTTTTGGTTGTTGGAGTGGTGGTGGTGGTGGTTTCCATATTTTTGGTGTTGTTTGGGGTGATTTTTGTTGGTGGCTGTGGTGGTGGATCTGGTGGTGGCAATGATGGTGGTGGTTGTTGTCGACGGCTGTGATGACGGTCGTGGTCATGGCAGCGGTGTGTTGGTCATGGGTGGGGTGTTTGTAACCAATTATTTGGTTAATTGTGATCAATAATTGATTTATTTGTGATTAATAAATAATATGTGATCAATTATTTGAGATTGTGATCATAAATTTTTTATTTGTGATCGTAAAATAATTTGTGACCTATAGAGATTTTGATTCGTGATCGAGAAATAATTTGTGATCAATTAATTTGTGACAAAATAGTATAGATTCGCAACCTTAATAAATTTAATTAATAAAACATATTTTTAATTAATTATTTCATAAATAAATTTTAATTAATATCTGATTTTTGAAGTTTTAAACCTTGTTTCTTAGTTTTGAAATGGGCTATACTTTAATCTATTAGATATGAAATTTTTCCTTGATGCAAACGGCGCCACCTCTGTACATTAAAAAAAAAAAATTATTTATAAATTATCTTTATTATATGTAAAAAAAATATATATTAAGTACAAATACTATATTTAAGGCCATCTTCAACGGGCCCTAGTGTCTGTCATGTAACAAATTGACCTAGATATACATTAAAAATATCAAGTATCGTTGGAGCAATCAAAATATGTGTATCTCTTTACATTGTTAATGGCAATATTATCCGTGTTTCTAGGTGCGATGGGTTGAACAATGTTTCTCAATGCATCGTCGCTTCTTAATTATTTCTAAACGTTCTCGTGAAAGCTTACACCCTACTAATGGTGAAAGCAAGTAAATTTTGTGCTACTTGAATACTAGCACAAACTCTTTGTACAATGAAGAGTGCACATCAACAAAAAACAACATGATTGCGATTGAGAAGAACTATTGCACATACATTTGTTCTTAATGTCTAATAAATACTTACGTGACAAATCACAAACATTCCTTTGACACAAACACGACATGTTGGTATAGCAATTTCGATCTCTAAATTTAACATGATCGGCAAGTGACTGAGTACTTGAAATAGAAGATAAATTACGTTATAATTCAAAATCAAAAGGAACTCCATCAGTCCATACCATAAGCAATGGAATTGGCAAACTAGAATATTACATGTCCAAGTAGAATAGAGAATTAGGGCAATGCATCTTGATCAGTTGTGGCAAGTGAAGGCGAGAGGGAATTTCGGGATTCATCATATTCTTCTCCCAACGGAGATTGCTCCACCCTTATTTCCTCTATCATTTTAACTACTTCGCCCATTGTTGGCCTCTTCTCAGGCTGTGGCACTACACAAACCATTGCTATATGCAGCATTGACACCAGTTCCTCCTCAATGTTCTTGTACCTGAAAATGGTATCTTCTCTTTAACGGCTTAGATTTTTAAATGGTGTGATTCAACTAGTGTTCCAGAAACTAGATCGGACCGATAATATGAAAACCCGAAAAAATTTCATAACTGGTCGGCAGGTGAGGGGACGTTTGGCCCAGCATAAAAGAAGTCAGAGTTACTTTTTTTTACCAACGGAACTTACTTTTTCAGATTTTCAGAAAATAAGTTAAAAATGGCTCTAACACTATAAGATAAGTAGTTGAATTTACCTTAACAATTCTTGATCAAAAACTTCGGCCGTCCACTCGTCTCTCACCACAGATCGAACCCACTTCGGCAAATCCACCGGCTGCTCTTCCTCGTCAATTCTAGGACGACTCGGTGATGGGTAATGTGATGGAGCTTTGCCAGTAAGAACTTCCAACAATAACACCCCAAAGCTATAAATATCAGCCATTTGTGAAAGCCTCTTGATTTCTGCCTGTTCTGGTGCTTTGTACCCTCCCAATCTAGCTATGGCATGAACAGGGTTCAAAAGAAGGGACAATCCAAAATCAGAAATGCAAGCAATACCATTTCTGTCAAGCAGTATATTTGATGATTTCACATTTCCATGTGGAATTCTTGAATCGGCATATTCTTCATGGATTTTAGCAAGCCCTCTAGCAGCCCCCAATATCAAACTGATCCTTGTAGTCCAATCAAGTGGAACTCTCCCTGGTCCTCTGTTCCCTGTTTAAATCAAGAATTTTACGAACTAAGTCCTAATCCATATTTCGAAGGGCGATATACATCATTATTTCACCAATTTTTTGTGAGAATCCAAGTGCATTTGAAATTATCTAGCAGAGCTGTGGCGTTTCTGTGATTTCAGCTCCATGGGACACTCGATCATGGAGTTTTGTGCCTCGCAATATGCTGACATTAAAGAAATGTCACTTCACTGCACGGCTCCACTAGATAATTTGTTCGACAGCTTAAACAAACTCCGACTCTCACAAAAACTAGGTAGGATGCATCTCAACATCCACTAGCAGCTGCAGATTTTCACAAGAATATTATAATGATGATCTCATGGTTCTCAATCTCTCACATAAAAGGTCCATTATGAAAGAATATCAGGGCGACCTAATATAAATATAAGTCGATCTGTGGTGTATATAAACAAACACATACCTTAAAACAAAAAAATTGATCAAATACAATAACTACATTAAAATTAAGATTTCCCATACCATGAAGAAGTGAATGCAAGCTGCCATTTGGGAGATAATCATAAACAAGCAATTTTTCTTCCCTTGCGTAATAGTAAGCTCTGAATCTCACTATATTAGGATGCTTTAGCTTCCCAATTACATCCATATACTGCTCAAACTCCTTTCTAGCACAAGGATTTGCATCCTTCAGCCTCTTTACAGCCACAGTGCACCCATCATCAAGCACAGCCTTGTAAACTGTCCCCAAACTCCCTTTTCCGAGCATCTCTGCTGATGCACGGAGCAAATCCTCCAACTCGAACTGCTTTTTGCGGTCGAAAAACACGAGCTTACTCCGGTCAGTCACATTAGTTCCATCGCTGTCTCCACCTCCACCTCCATTGTTGGCATGCACTCTCTTTTCACTTGAATAGCTGTTTCTCCACTTTCCATTTTCACTCCCTGCCATGGAATTTTCATCCCTCGAATACTTCCCACAATAGTATGCAACAGCGAATGATGCAATCACCAAAACCAGCACTGAATTTACAATTATAATTGCTGCTACTGTTCCGTTGCTGAGTTTTTTATGATGCTTATTAGTTTCTTCCACTGTAGAAGTTGATGAAGGCAGAGAACTGGGATGTGATGGTACTGTTTGCGCAGGCGGTTCAGCATTGGTGTATGAACACTGGGGGGAAGGATTAGTCCCGCATAACCCTTCATTGCCGGAAAAACTATCCTCGCCATAGCGCGATATTAAGCTCTTCCGTACCACTCCATAGAGCTCGTTGTTCGACAGGTTCAATTCTTTGAGTTGTGGAAGGGATTCAAAGAAATTCGGAATTGTCCCCGAAAGTTCATTGTTTTGGAGGTGGAGAGTGAGCAAACGAGAAAGTTTAGAGATTTCAGGGGGAATGGAGCCTCTGAGATTATTATTGGAGAGATCAAGACGGCGGAGGTGGTGTAGAGAGGAAAATTCTGCCGGAATCTTGCCGGAGAAGTCATTGCCAGATAAATAGATGAGCCTGAGGTTGAGGCATTGTGTGATAGGAGTGAGTGTTCCGTTGAGGCGGTTGTCGGGGAGGTTGAGGAGGCGCAGCTGGTCCAAGGCGGAGAGGGAATCAATGGGGCCGCGGAGGTTGAGGGAGGGGAGGGAGAGGGAGGTGACACGGTTTTTGGTGCACTCTACTCCTACCCAATTGGCTGTGCATGCGGTAGTGGTGTTGGCGGTGGTGGTCCAGTTGGGGAGGAGGGTACCGTGGAGGTCAGTTTGAGAGCGGAAGAGGGAGAGGGTGGCGGTGTCATCGGCTGCGTCGGAGGCGGAGGAAGAGACTGTGAAGAGTGCAAGAGAGAAAAGGAGAAAGGCAAAGAAACAAAGGTCCATTTGATAAAAGCATAAAGCGGGAAGTAGAATAATGGGGAGGTTTGAGTTTTATTTACGCTTTAAAAAGCGTCGAGGAAAAAAATCGTTAAAATTTGAATTCTAGATAAAGAAGTTAAACAAAGTAGTGAAGTAGGTGAGAGAAATGCTTTCCCTCTCTCTACTGTTCTATTTGGAAAAATTCTATTTGTACAACTTCGGTTGACAACCTCTCACATGTGTGTGAGATCCGCATGTTTAAAAAATTCAAAAAAAAAACCTGACTCTCTCATGTGAGTGGTTGTCAACCTCGAGTTTACAACTAGCATGACTCATTTTATTTTTTCAATTGCTCAACAACTCTCAACGAATTTCAATGGAAGACTTATAATCGAAGAAAATGTGAACGTGGAAAAGAATTTTTTCCTAAATATATTGATATGAATAAAAAAATATATATATTTGAATGCCTCTAGGCTTTTTTTTTTGTTTAAATTGGATTGGTACGGCCACTGTGACAAAAAAAAAATTGTAAGTTGGACAAATTAACTTGAAAGAATTGATTCTAGAAATCATAATGAAATCGACGAGTCAACTGGTTCAATCACAACAGAATAGCCAATTTATCCTGCATTTTTAGTTATATATTACTTGCAAATTAATTTAGTCCAACATTTTGACCTTAATTTGACTTTTAACATTTTCACCCTTTTCAAATTTTCAAATATTTGTTTTTAAAAATATAGTCTGACATGACATCGTAACTAAATAATTTCATGATTCATGAGTTCAATCTCAACAATAATCATTTTTAAGAAAATAGGAAAATGTCACGTGTACACTATTTTGTTAACATTATTGTTGACATTACAATTGTTGGGAAGTGTTGATTGAGTAAAAATAGAAATGCTACGTTTACAGTTTTTTTTTACACCTTAAGTTTGATAGCCCTCTTATATAGGGGGTGGGGCTCATAATCGCGGGCCCCACACCCATGTGAGAGGACTGTCAAACTTACTGTGTAAAAAAACTGTACATTCAGCCTTTTTCGAGTAAAAAAAACTGTCTAACGATGTATAGCCAGGTGACAATGTGTAAAAAAAAATAATATAAAAGATAATGTACATATAATGTGATTGAAAAATTTATGGGTCAAGTACGTGCATTGATTCAAAAGGAAAAAAATTCTGATTGAAAAATAAATGAAAATTATATCTTCTTTTAAGAAATTAAATTTGCAGGACATGATTGATAAGGTCAATCAATTCTGTTATACATTGTTAGAGAAATAATAAAGAGGAGAATGATTAAAGGAGACATAAGCATGAAGAAGAATTGGTTGAGTGAATGATTGCTGTTTCCACTGCCGAGTAAAGGTGCTAAAGGCAAAGTAATATACAATTATACATTCCATTGACTGATTGGGGAACTCCATACAAAGGGGCACTCCCTTCAAGAATGGGGATAGTGATATTTGTAAAAATTGTCTTGCTTATTTTTCTTTTCAAATTTCTCATATTTAATTCAATTATGTAATCGTAACCCTTGCCAAGGTACTAAACGCATCGACCTAATAAGATCTGGCTAAATGATTAATCTATTTGTACAATTATGGATGACAATTTGAATGACATTGTGTATGTTGACGAGAATTAGTGATTGTAGAAATAAGTTGAAACGGAAATTGTCCAATGAATGAATGCCACGTGACATTTTATCAACCAAATTGTAACTCATAATTGTACACCAAGCATGATTGCTAACTAAAATGGTAAGCAAAGAAAACCTAGATTACATGAAAACGAGACACGACGCACAAATACATTATTTTTTTAGAAAGTAGGACACGAAACGTTGCAAAAATAAAATCATGAATTCAATTTTAGAAATTTAATATTTAACTTCAAAATACTATTTAATATAATTTAAATAAAAACAATACTAGAATCAATCTAATCTAACAAAATATTTTAACATAAATTTATTTTTTCAAAACAAATATTCGTAAAATATTAATACTTGAACACCTTTGTATCGTCTATTGTATATGGATATGTAATTCTTACTTATACTAATTTTTACAGGTGAAAGAGATAAAAAATAAATCCAATTTGGTGGGTAGTAACCCATCGCTTCTTCAGGGAAATGATAAGACTTACCGAGGAAGGCCAACACAAGAACTAGAAAATCTATAATTTAGGTAAAATTTAGCATTATTGTTCTCTCGGTATGACAAGCAAAGTCCAAATATGTTTTAAGTCAAAAACTGATTAAGTTAATATTTAGTTAGTGTGTAGTTAAGTTTGTCTTTTGGGGTAAAATTTCTAATATATTTCACATAAAATTCCTAGAAGTTCTCATAAAATTTCTAAAATTCATTAAAATTATAGGAAACTTTTTTTAGTTCTCACTACATTTTCAAGAGTTTCGATTTTCAAAGCATTTTCTAAACGGAACTAGGGATGGCAATGACACACGAAAATTCCCTATTCTCGTGGAGACCGACTCAAGCAGGACGGAAATCCCTGACTAATCGAGAATCAGAACCAGGATGGCAGCGCCTACATATTTTCCCTGCTCGTTCTCTCTATCCAACGTCTCTTCTCACCCACCCACCAACTCACTTTCTCTCCTTCCCTACCATATCTCGTTTACGGTGTCGCTGAACCCAGTCGAGCAAAACTACAGTGCACAGCGGCCAAGTGTTTACTTACAGCAGCACATAACCCTACTTGTGGCGCCACTGTTGCAAATAGCACTGACGACACGGATCTTACTGGAGGAGGATCGATCTCCACTGTTGTTGGAATGTCGCAGTCGCCGATTAGCCAGAGAGATGGCTCCCTATTGTAACAATATGAGGATGGAATCCAAAGCGCCATTCTTCATTACAAGAAATCCAACTGTTCATCGAAATGTATGATAAAATTCTACTTGTGGATAGAATTTTTAAGAAGTCGACCTTGAAGACGTCTATAACTAATAGTGAATTGATTGATGAGGATTGAAGGGGGGTGTGATTTCATTGTCATGGATTTGAGTTGAAGGTGGTAGTGGTGGTGATTGTGGCATTGGTTTGCGGTATGTAAAGTTTTGTTTGTGGTGACCTTCTGTGACCAATTACGTTGTTATTGTAATTGATTGTGATTAATATTGTTTTAATTGTTATTGATTGTGACTTGATCACATACTGTTACATATAAGATTAACCTGATCACAAATAGTCACATTGAAGACAATTTTGATAACATTTAATCACATTGAAAACATATTTGGTCACATTTAGTCACAAATAAAACATGTTAGTGACTTGGTTGCATACGGCCACAAATTAGACGATGACAAATAGTTACACCGAAGACCAATTTGATCAATGATCTATTAACAAACAATAAATTTGGTCACAAATTTGGAGGGGAGGGGAGATGTAATATCCAGAAAACATTTTAAATTTTCTATGGGTAGAGGTGGGGTGGGTGAGAGTGATTCGGTGGGGTGGGGTGGGGTGGGGTCTCTAGAAAAGATTTTCAATTTCTCGAATTTTTCTACGTGTGAGGTGGATGGGATGGAGTAGGTAGGTAGGGTGAGGTCCGCAGGGGGTGGGGTTGGGATACAATGTATATCAATGGTAAAATAATGGATATATATATTAGTTGTATCTTATATACCCCTGTTTGGTAGAGATTAAAATCATATTTTTAGTAAATTTTGATAAAAATTGATGAAATGTGTGGTTGAAAAGTTGTGGATATCATGAGATGTGTGGTTAAAATTAATTGTTAACTTTAACTTAAGATTTTAATTGAATTTTAATCTAAACTGAACAAGGTCATATTATATATATTATTAATTGGAATTAACACCAGAATTTTGAAATAATTTGACAAGATTGTTCATTTTGAAATGTGAATATTGTAGTGTAGTAGTTATGTATTATTCCCATTATTTAATATAAGTCGTTTTATACTCTTATTAGTCAACACATTTACACAAGTGTTGGGACTTTAGTAGAGATTTCATTTTTTAATATTAGAAAAATATAATAACTTTAAAAAAAATATTAAAAGGGAACGAGGTGGGGAAATTCCTAATGTGGCGTGGGAATGGAATGGGGTCCCCATTTCTTTTTCATTCCTGAACGAATCTTAAAAGTTTTCGTGCATCATAAAAGAAAAGTCAAGAAAATGTGATGGCATTGCCTAACTTTGAAACTATAATTAACCATTGAAACGATCAAGCATGGATGACTTACTGATTCCTATATGACACTCATGAGAATATGTATATACGCACACACGAGTGGGCCATATCTCTATCACGTATTAAATCATTTTGTGGTTGCCTTGATAGTGATTGAATCTCAAGTCGATCAAGCAAGCCATATGGGTGCATTGAACAAACATTTAAAAGGTCAATTATCATCAACATTTATAGTCGCAAATCTTTGAAAATGAACAAACTTCAACCTTTGGGCTTGCATATATTAATCAAAACGAGTAATACTTATCTATTATTAGTTGTGATCATCACCTGTGCAGATGACAGTGAATCTCTTGATTCATTGTTAAGTTCATTGGATTACATTACAATTTCATTGAGCAATGAATCGAGGTTCAAGGGGCTAACTGTCACTTAGATCGATAATGATCACGATTAACGATGAATAACATTGTTCTAATCAAAATAATTCTGGAAAATATTTCAATGACCATGAAAAAAGGAGTAGAAAACATTTCATTAGCAAACCCCATATTTAAGTCAGATCTGGAAGTATTTAATCAGTCTTCTATAAAATACTTGTGGATTTTAGTTAGTCAAATGATTTGGAGGGCAAAGTGTCATTGTCGGCAAAAGTAAAAAATGGGTACAGCTTTGTATTCACTTAACAAGGAGAACCGAAGGCGGGATTGACGTTCAAAAAGCCTAATATCTGTCGCAAGCTGGATCTTCGACTGATACTGTCGAGGGAAAATTGCAGCATTGGTCCCTAATTTATGTCCATTGTAGCAACTTGGTTTATGCTG